AAAAAAGGCAGAATGAATAGAGAATGCATGTAGTTCTGAATAATTTAAATAAAACTTTTAATTTTGGTGCCTTAAAGGATTTGTTTGCCCAGTTGTGCAAAAGACAGTTTCCTCTAATATGTCTAATGGGATTTAAATGTCTTCAACCTATGTGGATATCCTAATGAAGATCAAACCGTCATTAATTAATTTCTTGGTGACTCTCACACCATAGTCCAGAATGAAATTGGAATGATCTACTAGCAGTTGTCTGGAGTCAGATTAGAAAGAGACTGCCATCTGAAGTAAACAAGGCAAAAAATAGTAGGAAGTGTTTGTTTTTGTACAGATGGGTTACTCCTCTAAGTATCTTTTTATTTTCTTTTCTCTTTTTTTCTGTTTTCCTTTTTTTTCCCCTTCAATTCTGGCTCTGGGAGGAACCAGCACGACTCTTTGTTCTCCCAGGGGACGAAGGTGTGTGCATTGCTAGTGCAGCCTCTGTGCCATGAGCTGACTGCCCCGAGTGGACAAAACATGGCATGGATGACTGCTGCTAAGCAATCCACTTCTAATGGCTGCATTACAATTCAGTACCTGTAGTACAATTAGAAATAAAGAGATGCATTCTGCTCTTTCGTTATATTTTTTTAATCCACTGAAATAAATGGACATGGGGGTGAACCAAGCCTAGAGCTTAAGGTACAATGAATTACTATCCGTTCATTTGAGGCATATTTTCTAAGGAGGGCTATTTAAGGCTTTTTGATTACGATCAGAGATGATAATAATTACTTTGTGGGAAAAACATGAACAAATGAATTTGGTTTTTTTTTCTGCTTTTGATCATTGCACAATAGATGGTGGAATGATAAAATTGTTGTGAAACAACATTGCAGCAGTGTGTCAAGCTGTTTTTCTTTATTATTTTTATTTCATTGCAGATAAATGTCAGGGACAATCTTTGAAATTAGATGACATGCATGATGACATACCATTTAGCTGTGGAGATACAACCAGGGACCAAAGCTTGTTTGCAAAATTGAGGTCCTTGGGAGCAGAAAGAAATAGGAGTTTCTTACAAATAATATCAGAATTCATTCTGAGTTTCTTAGACAAGGTCTAAGGTTGTTGCAGAGAAGTCCAATACCTCATTACCTTGCAAGGCATGTGCTGAAGTCCATGTGTCTCAAGAATGGGGTATAATTCTTAGGTTTTTCCAGGTCACTGTCACATGAGGTCAGCCTATCATTAGAAGTTGGACTTGTGCTGTTAGTAATGTGCTGGCTCTTCTTTGACCTCATTTTGCTGCCAACTGATCTGGTTTGTGATAAAGACTCTAGCAATCAAAGTTTGAAGTTAGACTTTTTTGTCTTCTTTTTTTTTTTTTTTTTTTGTCTTTATCATTATTCTGAGTTATGTTTTGTCAGTTTTTGGTTTTTTTTTTTTTTCAGAGTTAGAATCACTGTACTTTTAGAGTGATTTACCATTACATACGTTTTCTTCATAGAGGAGCAAAACGTGGTCAGCACAGGAAGGCAGAATGGCAGGTGATGAGGGCTGGTGTTGGGACCCAACAGGTGGCTCCTTCTCACAACCAAGTTTCTTCCCTCCCTGCTCCAGCTGTTGCAACCCCATTGATTGATGATTAAGTTTAGTTATCCAGTATAAATGGTGATTCAGGCAATTCTTCCCATCCTGCTGTAGTCTGTCAGTGCTGCTAAAGCAGCAGTTATAACTGGCACAGAAGGGTGGGCTCCTTCATTGTTGTGCTCCTTTTATTTTATTTTTTTTCCTTTGGTATTTTCTGCTGTTTTCCCCTCCTAGCAGGCTTTCCCGTTAGGCTACTTTGTTGAATGTATCTCTTGTCTTTTGTGGGTTTCATTTTTTCAGTTCTAATCACAGTTCCAGATACTTCCAGATTTATCCCCAGATTCCCTGTAAGTTTACAGAATGTCTCCTCATCAGACTATGGAGTCCCATCACTTACTTTGAAAATTAAGAAAACTGTGGATCATACTTGGGTTTTTTTTTCAGTATTTCCTCCAAACACAATTTATTTTTCCCCCAAAACGTTTCTGTCCAAGCCTTCTGTTTTATGCTCTCAGAGTGAAAAACTTTCAGAAAACACTGAAAATCATTCAGTTGCTAGGAAGCCAGTTTGGATTTGCCCCATTGTTTAGGTCCCACAGTTAAAATTAGGCCAGGCTACAAGTCTCAGAAAGTGTTTGCTTAATTTCACACAGCCGGGCAATCTGCTTTAGAAGTAGAAATGGTTTGAGGGCGCTGAACAATGCAACATATAAAAGCATCTTTAGCACATAAAACTCTCCGTGATTAAATGATGTTTTAAAGGCAGATTTAAAACCGTTCACTTGCGGTGCTGAAGTGAATTGAAGTGTCAGACTGTAATGCATACCAGTAATATCACAGGCAGCGTTGCATAGGAAGCAGCTTACAGCAGTCGAGGATTCTCAAAGAGCAAAAGCCAGATGCAGACCTCCTTGTAGTCAACAGAAGGATTTTTTCCTTTATCAGGAAAGTCCTGCAACACCAAATGTCCCCAGTGTTACTAGAGTACTGTGTCCAGGTCTGGAGCCCCCAGTACAAGAAAGACAGAGAGCTGTAGGAGAGGGTCCAGAGGAGGGCCACAAAAATGATCAGGGGACTGGAGCGCCTCCCCTACAAAGGCAGACTGAGGGAGCTGGGCTTGTTCAGCCTGGAGAAAAGAAGGCTGCAGGGTGACCTCATTGCAGCCTTTCAGTACCTAGAGGGAGCCTACAAACAGGAGGGGAATCAACTCTTTGAAAGGGTAGATAACTGCAGGACAAGGGGAAATGGTTTTAAGTTGAGGGAGGGAAGATTTAGGTTGGATGTCTTTACTATGAGAGTGGTGAGGTGCTGGAACAGGCTGCCCAGAGAGGTTGTGGATGCCCCATCCCTGGGGTGTTCAAGGCCAGATTGGATGGGGCCCTGGGCAGCCTGGTGTAGTACTAAATGGGGAGGTTAGTGGCCCAGCATTTGGCAGGGGGGTTGGAGATTCATGATCCTTGAGGTCCCTTCGAACCCTGGCCATTCTGTCATTCTGTGATTCTCTTCCTCTGCCTCAAATGCCAGACTCCTCCGGCTTGTTTTTCAAATCTCAGTAATTAACAATTCCCACAGTATGAAACTGGAGAAACGCTACCACTTCTTGTTATGTTTCAAATTGTCCATTGACCTCATTGTGCTTTAGCACAGGATTATCTAATTGGTTATATGATCAACACTTGGACACGTGACCTTGTTCCATCCTTCCCCAACATATTAAATTGCTAGGCAATTAACAAGATTTGACACTTTATATAATCTTTGTAATGTCTGCACAGGCATAAGGGTGAGTATATTTGTGTCTGAAATCATTAAATAAAACTTCACATCACTGAATTTCATGTCAGTTTTATTTTTTAATTTTCACTATTTTCTTTTCCCTTTTTAGGTATTACGTAGAGATGGCTTTATGGATCTGGACACTAAGCATTGTGAGCTGCTTTTGCATCACCTTTTCCAGAAGTGAGGAACTGGAATTTTTTCAGAGTGCCACAGAGCTCAATCATCTAACAGTAGATAATGACACTGGCATAATCTATTTGGGAGTGGTAAATGCTCTGTATCAGCTTACAGAAAAACTGGTGGTACGGATACATGTGGAAACGGGGCCAAGAAAGGACAACAAAAAATGCACACCTCCCATTGAAGAAAATCAATGTAAAGAGGCAGTACTGACTGACAATTACAACAAATTATTGTTGCTGAACAAAGAAAATAAAACAATTGTGGTGTGCGGAAGCCTTTTTAAAGGGATTTGTGCCACCAGAGATCTAGAAAACATTACCAAAGTTACGCATTATGTGGAAACCAGTGGAGAGAAGTCCTTTGTAGCAAGCAACGATGAGAATGTATCAACAGTGGGGCTGATCACTTCCTTGGACAATGATCAGGTGCTGTTTGTTGGGAAAGGGAACGGACCAAATGATAATGGGATAATAATCAGCACTCGGCAGCTCCACGAGAAGGATGGGAAAGACATTTTTGAAATGTATTCGGACTCGGCAGCTGTTAAGTCAGCATATCATTCTTCAAGCACACAGCAATTTGTGACAGTCTTTGAGGATAAAAATTACGTTTATTTCATTTTTAACCAGCAAGAGAAGCAGCCTGTCAACAACCGCACACTAATTGCACGTCTTTGCAAAGATGATGCCCATTATTACTCCTACTTTGAAATGGACTTGGGTTGCAAAGATGAGGATGGTTCCTATGATCACTGTCATTCTGCTTACGTCACCACCCCAGGAAAAAAGCTGCCCGAGAGCATGGCTCAACAAAGACAAACTACAGATTCTGGCTCGGCTGACAAAGTGCTCGTTGCACTCTTCAGCAAAGTAAACAAAGACAATGGCTCCCTAAAATCTGCCATGTGTGTGTTTTCGTTGAGGCACATCAATGAAAAAATGGAGAAAAACCGTGATGACTGCTACACAAATAAGAATACTAGCATGTTTTACAAACTCTTTGCAGTAGAAAACCCATGTGGACCACATGGACAGGTAATGTCAGTTATCAATATTAGAATCTGTGATAGGAATAGTGGAAAATATACAACTGCATGTATTTTATGTAGCTGTGAGATAAAACCTGGTGAGATTAGATGATTGAGAAATTTATGTTCACTCAGTGGATTCACTACAGAAATTGAATGTGGTTGGGAATGTTGTGAAACAGATCAAGCAAGAAGCAACAAGATATTTATAATTTACAGTATTTTGAAAAAGAGTTGATGTCTTCTAAAAGACGAATATTATCTGGTTTTATGAATGCATTTCTTTTAAAGTGTTCTTTCTGGTGTGGAAATTACTGAGTCATAAGCAGTGATTTGTTATCCCCATGTTCAGCTTCCAGATGATTACTACAGACAATTCTGTTCACAGCCGACATATTTATAATGTTTTTAAGTGGTATTATTGATCTTGAAGGTGATACTTGGAGTTCAGTGTTGTTTCTCACTTGGATTTGAATTTTCAGATAATTGGAAATATGCATGTTTCTTATATTCAGGTGGCTTTCATATATTTCTCTGGCTCAAAATAGATCCTCAGCATGAGGGTGACCTTGCATGTCTTTTCGTGGCTTTTCATTGCCTTGCATACTGGAGGACACTGACATCCTTCAAGATACTGATTTTCAATTTATGGCTTTGGCTTTATGATGCAGTTTTCACCTTCACCGTTAGATGTTTGCTTTCATCCATGCCTCTCAACCTATTCCCAGTCCTCACTTGTGCATGCCATTTGTTACTGCAGCCAACTGTAAACTGGGTTGAGGGACTGAATCACCTTAAAAATAAGTCAGCAAACTTGAAGAAAGATGTCTTAATTCCCTAACGCAAGTAAGTTACACACTTGCATAAGCAGTTGCTTGAGCACAGCTTGAAAACTGGTGTGCTGCAGCCCAGGGGTAGGAGTGAACATCTGAAGGGATGAGGCATGGGAATACCAGGTCATTACTGGTATTGACCCAGAATCCTTCATCTCATGAAATCACAGCCATGCAGTAGATCTCTAACAAGGGATAGAAGCCAAAACACTTTTTGATTCCAAACCCCAGTATTTCTCACTGCAGTACCCTGCACCTGAGGTGAGCACCAAATTACACAAATTATGATTGTGAGAATTGGAGTGGCCTCGGCTTCCAGCAAAAGGGAGATGTGGATTTCCAATCAGAGAGCAGAGTAGCAGGAAAGACAAGGTGTGGATGAACTTTTTTCTGCAGTTTCAGACTAAAGCATATTGAAAGTGTTGAATGTTCACGAGGCAATTGCCAGTGGGCTGCTTTTCTATGGAGTGCAGCAAATTAAAAACCAAAACAGTTTAAAAAACAGTCCTCAAAACAAAATTAGTAAACTTGATCTATATGACTAGCTAATTAAATGAACTGGTTACTTTTTAATCTGTGCTTCTGCAGTGAAACAGAAACAAAGACCATTTCCTCTCTCTGTCTCCTGGAAAGCAATAGCACTGAAGCAGTTTGCAATTAACAGACTGATTTCTGATTGCGGCTCGTTGTCTTGGGTAACGTGGCCAGGGAACCCATTTCTCTCTTTCTGCTCTCCTATGTCTGAAGGGTATCATATTGTGGTAGCAGGGTTACACTTCATTCTTAGCTGGGAATTAGTGATCTGAATGTTTAACATCGCTCTGTATTGCTATTCCTTATTAGAATGCAAGCAAAAATTTCCCCTGTGGCTCTGAACACTTACCATACCTCTTGGGAAGTAAAAATGGTGTTATAGAGAAACCAGTATTACAAAAAGAAGGGATGAATCTCACGGCTGTTACTGTGACTGTGGAAAATGGGCACACCGTGGCCTTTGTGGGGACTTCAGATGGAAAAATTCTTAAGGTAACAAATCTGACTTCAAAGCTTGGAGCGTGTTGAATAGGTTGCAAACTGTTCTGATAACGTGTTGATACTCTGGAAGTGAACGTGATTTAGAGGATCGCATAACGGGAACAGATTCTCTTGGCACTTGGTGTCTTTACTTTCAAAGAAAAATAAAGACAGGTTACTTCTTGTGTAACTCAGCTTTCCAGTGCATAGGTAGAATTAGCATTGACTGAATGATACTTCTCCCAAAGGTTTAGATACCTACATAGACCCTTATAAAAATAGCCCTAGGTAACTTAACATCTGCTCTGGCCTTATATCTATTACAAGCCCCTAGTCATTTAAGAGCACATTTTCATTTTGTAATCATTGTGGCCATTCAGAACAGAATATAGAAAACAATATAAGGCTAAAGCAGGAGCTTTGACTGTGGGAACACGTGATTCAAGGGTTTGTGTGTCCATACTGTTAAACTATGGAGACTGTCACATGTATTATTTTGCTGAAGACAAGGCCATGTGTCACTATGTTGTTTGAAGTTTGAAGTTGATACAGCTGCTTATTGTAAGGGAGGTCAGCAAATTTGAACACCTTCAAGTGCAGTGGCACCAAGTTGAGAATTTGAGTTTTATAACACTCAAATAAATCAGTGTTTAGGAAAAAAAAAATCAATGCAAATACTAGCTGTTGTGAGCAGTGAGCAATTTCTTTTCCATTATTTTTCTGCTGTGTTTGCTGCCTTTAATGCTAAATACTTCAGATTGAAATGTTTTCACCAATATGAATTTGTGAACTTGAGCAAACATAGCATTTTCATTCATGATAATCGAAAAAACAGCAATCTTTACCACCCTTCTTTCTTCCATGGAACAGGTGTTCCTGTCATCCAATGTAACTGAGTACAGTTCTCTGACTATTGAATTAAATAAGCCCATAAAGAATGATCTGGTCCTTGACAAAACCCAAGAATATCTATATGTGATGACCACAGACAAGGTAATGTATCCCTCTCTTTTTAAGCATCAGGTCCAGTTGAACTTTCTCTGTGACTTTACCTGAGATTTGAACATTTCTCTGTCATTCCTGGAACCCACCCTAGTCATTGGGCTGCCCCTGCACTGAATTTGTGTGTGCACCTTTACAGGCAGAAGGAAAGCAGGTTATTACAAATAAATGAAAATGCTGCTGGGATTATGGAGTGGATGAAAACAGAATGTGAAGTGTGTACCTCCTTCTATCAACTTCAGCCCCCCTCTAATTTTTGCTCCCTCAAGCAGAGGTGATCTGCTTGACTCACTTGTCTGTCACCTGGAGAACGGTTATATCCTTAATGCTCAGAGTGAGATCAGGAAGTGAGTTCACCTCTGAAGCTCTCTAATGGGGCCTGAGCAAAGGATGAAGCTGTGATGTTTGGCACTAGAAAGCCACAGGATCAGGCAGCCACACATCGGGGAGAATGCCTGAGCTGCCTTCCTGTGCCACCTATTGTAGGGAACCTGCTTTAGCATTGGACTCATTGGATCTCTTCAAGTCCTTTCCAACCCCTGCCATTCTGAGATTCTGTGAATACTTCAGGGTTTGGGACGCTAGTAGCTGACACAGCAGTGTCTTCATATCTTTAAAATGGCCAAGAGCTTTCACGGGTCTTGCTGTCAAAAGGTAAGAAGCAGAGCTTTGGGAAACACCCTTGTATTATCTTCTGCCTAGAGCTGTACTGCTGCAGGAGGAATGGTCAGACTGCTACAGCATTCTCTTCTTGGTTCATCTTCTCCGAGCTGGAACAGTAGAGATTTTTGAAGGGAAAACAAAAACAAGAAAGAAAGGAGGAGATGGGAGGGATGCCACTTTTAGCCGTAACCTGCTCATGGCACTTCCTTATGTGGACACTCACACTCATGGTCCAGCAGCTCTCCAGGATGGGAGAGGTGACAGACTGCCACCACTGCAGCACTGATGGGGACACACAGTGGGACATGGGAAAATGCCCCGGCAGCAGTAACACAGAGAGAATTCTGATGGCTGTGGAAGGAGAGTACTGGGGAAATGGTGGGGGGAGCATATTCCTGCAGGTTAGTGCCATTTTTTTGAGTAGTTGGTACTTCAGATTTGGAACAGAACTTCAAACTTCAACAGTCTACATGAAGCTGGCACCCCATGGGACACCAGCACATTGCTTCAGCCCTGACGTCCCCACCAGGCTGTGCTCTGAGCAGCATGAGCACCAGGGCAACCTTGAAGCAAGGCATGTTTTCTGGTGATAGTCAGCTAGAAATAGAGAATTTAGGAAGGCTGCTAATAATTCCATCTCTACAAAATGTTTAAATTTAGAGTGCAGAAAATTTCTCCCAAAGAAGGTATTTCAGTTTAATCTTTTCTTAGTAGCTCTCATAGACACATCAGTTTCTAAATAATGGGAATAATAATTTTCTTTTACAAAACCTGTTCAGCTTAAATGTGAATAACTAAACTTGGGAGCTCTGTCACGGCATTACATTACTGTCATCTCCAGGAGTTAATTACAATAAGCAGTCCCACCCACCTTGAAAGCCAGATAGAGGAGAATGGAGGCCTTCAAGGCTGGAAGAAATGAAGTGACAGAAATGAGAGGGGAAGAACAAATGCTGAAACATGCTCTGCTGTTTTCAGAACAGCTGCAAGTTGTGGGAAAAGATGTACCAGCACCCTGCCCTGGGAGTTAAAATAGTTTACAATTATTTAAAAGGAGGTAAACAACGAAGTGCACAATCGCTGTGCTGCTGTGCATGCTGAACGCTGACCTGCTTGGCAGATGTAGCACTTGCCACCCAAGTGATGTGATGGGTGATAACGTGAAGCAGCCTTTAAAAATAAATTAGATGGTGACATAATATAGGGAAGAGTAATACGGAGGTTAAGATCGCTGTGAGAATCCAGCTCTTGCTTTCCTGTTTCATTTCTTCCCCCTCTCCCCCATCTCCTCCCACCCCGTCCTCTTTTCCCAAGCAGTGGATGGCTCAGAGCAGATGCTTTCAAAAGTCAGTTCCTTCCTCCTTATCCTCCTCTCAGAGCTGGGCAGGGGTCAGGAGGGCCCATTGAAGCTGGAAAGGACTGCACCACTCCTGCCATACTCAGTGTAGGTCATTAAAAGTAAACAGAAGTGGGAGAATCTTGGATTCCTTCTGATATGTCTCATATCAGCAGTAAAACTGAAGCCTGTGGCAGTCACCATTCTCACCACTTTCTGTGCTTGTTATTGCTTTTACCTCTCTCTCTGGTTAAAAGTGCCAATTAGAAAAATCCTAAAATCTCTAAAATCAGTTTCTCTGTGTTTTGAAGCTGTCTGTAAGCCGAGCTGCTATTTTTTTCTGTAAAAACCTTTCAGTTTATGTAAAACTTGTAGAGACAGCCGATCTCTGGAGCTTGTTTCTGCTTGCCAGAATTATGAAACAGACACTTTGTCATAAAAAAGCCATTCGCTGGATATTAAATGACTCACAAGAGGGGAGCTGGTTAGAGAAGCGGTGTGCCAGTAGCTCAGCTCCAGGTAGGAAGAAGCCTGTGGAAGAAAGAGAAAATACTAAAGAGATAAGCCTATGTAGTAGTAAATGCATGAACGCTACCAAATGTTGATGTTTTCCTTAACTGAATCACCGAATCCCAGAACTGTAGGGGCTGGAAGAGACCTTTGGTGATCATCAAGTCCTTCTGCCCTGCCTGAATCAGGTTGAACTCTTCTAATGTGAAAGTAGCTTTGTAACTGCCAATGGGTTTAAATGAGAGGATTAGGTTAAAAAAAAAACAAAACACTCTTCATAGGTAAAACACGGTCCTTAACAGTCTGGGAGGAGTACGTCCCTTCCCTTCTTGCACAATTCAGCAGCATAGTTAAAAGTGCTGATTATGTGCCTGCTCATTTTTCTGGGCATTAAAAAAAGACCAAATTGTTTATTCTCACCCCCAAAAGAAATCAAAACCAGAAGCCATGTATTTACGGGGAGTCTGAGAACTGATGGTGCTGCTTCCTGCCACAGTTATTTCCATTCTCTGTTGTAAACTTACTGCATAGCAGCAGGGTTATGCATGGAGATGTGCAGCCCTGCAAGCACCAGGGCCCTCTGAGGTTTTCAGACTTCCTGGAGTGCCTTCTGGCTAAAAGTGCCACTTGTGGTTACATTTCCAAAGGATTTCAACCTTGTGCTAACAATAAAGAGATGATATTGTACGTACAACTGATCTAGCTAATGTATGTTAACCTGCAGGAAGAATCTGTCCTGCAGTAGCTGTTTCTTGGGTTGGAAATGATGTTCTCACATTTCTGTTCTGCAGCAGCTGCTGAAATTCACATCTCCAGAAGTAACTTAACCTAACTGCAGGAACTGAACAGTTTTTTAAGATTTTCTCATGATTCTTGATTATGGCAATAAGTTCTGCTAGTTTGGAGAGAGACTAGAGAACACTGGAGTGAAGAAGAGCAGGAAAGTATGTGAGTTTGAGCTTTAAGTCATGACCAGGGGGTTAACCAGGCTCCATTTTAAAAAACCAAATTGCACCTTGAACATAGTTATATGCGGTCTTTTCCTGCAATGGGCAGCAGCGTTGTGCAATCCCATCCATAAGCTCAGTCTCCTTGTGCCTTCCTCAGACACGTGACGGTTTGTCTTGCTGTTGGCTCCCCAGGTGCATCGCCTTCCCGTACAGCAGTGCCACAAGTACTCGGACTGTGAGAAGTGCATGCAGGCCCAGGACCCGTACTGCGGCTGGTGTGTGCGGAAGGGCAAGTGAGTCCCATAGGGGTTCTGCAGATGTGGGCAGTGGAGGTGCTGGAGGAGGCCTTGAGATGTGGCACGTGCCTTCTGTTATTGCTTTGTGTAGCGATTCTGGTTCTTTGTACTCAGACTCTCAGTACTGATAGGGATTGAATTTTATCACACAGACATTGGTATCAATCTTCCATGCACACAAATAAGTCCCCGTTGAGTTCTGCAGATTTCATTAGTTTCGGAAAATATATACTCTTCTAGTGGTACTGAAAATCATTATACATCTTGAACTGCAAGTTTTATGGCTCTCTGAACCATGCAGTCAGATGTTCTCCCAGAAGTTAAGAGTGCTCCCTATTTAAAATCCTGAAAATATAGCATTTATTTTAAGTAGAGATGCAAAACATAATAAAAGAGCATAAAGGAAGAAATTGCTAATGTCTGAAGATAAAGTATATAGATAAGAGGCTGTTTGTAGATAAATGTTAGCTATGGAGACATGTAGCTACACCGGGCTCTTACCTCACTGCATGAGAGCAGAAGCTGGCCTTTGGCTGACTTGTCTGCAGAGGTTATCTGAATTAATATTCAAACATATGCAAACTAGAACAATTCTGGATGTCTCTTCTTTACATTGTGCATTGATTGGAGTGGTGAGAGGCAAGTGCAGTCCTACAGCTCTCTTTTTGACTACTAAGTTAATTAACCCCTTGGCATGAGCAGTTGGGAATTCATGGTTCTAAGTACTTGCTGTTGGAACAAAGGGGCTATTTAATTATAGCATGCAGATGAATTTCAGGCTTCCAGCTTTCTGCCTGAAAATGTGAACTCTCACATTAAGTTACCTAACAGGCTGTTGTGCAGCATAATGTGAAGTACTGCAGAGAAACTTGTGTTTGTACACATTTATGCAATATTCTGTAATAACTCTTCAAGACCAGGCTTCAGCTTCAGTGGATGAAACCTGGGGATTTGGAACATGCAACTCAAACTCCTCCTGGCTACTCAGAGTTGAAGGCCATGTCATATATCATACAGCAGGCAATTTCCCCTAGATTTCCCTTCAGGTTTCTGATACAACCGCTGACCTCAATAACTTGAAGTATTAATGATCTCTGAGAACAAGCAAACGTGAATTTTTGCATTTGGTAGTATTTCTCCCAGTAGAAATAGCAGCACATGATTTCTAATGTTTTTCCCACCTGCACCAAGTTCTGTCTCATCTTCACATGCAGTGCTTAATTGTGTGTTTAGGGACGTGTTATATGAATGTAGACGTTGTATGTAAATGATATCCTTAGGGTAGTGCTGGCAGAACTGTTCAGCAACTGTACTGTACTAAGGCCCCTGATGAGTTAATAGACTTTTGTTACAACAGCCAGAGATATTACGGAATTTTCTCACAAGCGTTGCACAGGATGAAAAGAATTTGCATGAAACTGTCCCCCAGCACACACTCTAACAAGCTTTTGTAGCCACATGCAGATTCTGTCCTGCAGCACCTCTGCTTTACATCCTTCCAGTAGGGGAGCTAAGAAAATCTCCCAGGATTTTTGATGAGGCTGCACAGCCACTGATGTCTTCCTGCGATGGTAAGGGTGCCCTCTCAGAGAGAGATCTTAAACAGTGGCAAGAGTTAATGAAGCCCTTCACCAAGAAAGCGGCATTTCTCATGTGCTGAGATTCCACAGGAGTTCTGATGTGCCCCAGGCAGCACTGCTCTGTCACATTTCTGCCCTCATGAGTCAGGTGTCTTATTGCTGCCAACACATGGGTGTCATCCTTGACCTACAGAAAGGTTGTGCCCACTCCTCCAGGAGTTTGGTACATGTTAAAATGAAGATTAATCAGCCTACTTTCAGGAAATGGGGCAATGGCTCCATTCTCTTTTTGATGCTGTGTTAAATATTATTAGGTGTCCATACGTTTGAGTGGAGTAATCCTACACATTGTGCAACGTATGTTGTCTCCCTCCTTGCTTTCCATACCTCAAACATGGTCAGTACTTACTCCATCACTTATTCATTTAATAGTTCTCTGATAGCAAACTGAATAGTCAATATTAAAGCAAACTTCCAGTCATCTTGTACTGCAGTTTCAGTCTCTAGTCCCTGAATTGTTGCTTAGTTCAGAGAAAGCAGAGCCCAGCTATGATATTGCTTTACTTCTTGTTTTGTTCCTATTTTGTCAGCTGTACAAAGAAGGCAGACTGTGAAATGGCCAATAAGGAGAACGAGTGGCTCTGGAGTCCAAATGGTACATGTATGACTATCATCAGTGCAGACCCTCAAAACATGAGTCGTAGAGCCCCTGCTAAGGTATGACAACAAAATTCTTTCCCTGCATGTTCTTAAAGCACACTGATGTGACTACAAAGCAAATTAATGTCTGTTTTTCTTTAGGCATGGTGATAGCAAGAAATATAAAGTTTTTGAGGTATCTCAACCTTTCAGACTTCTCACAGTGCTCTTTTCTTGCCTTTTCTTCTTGTAGGCTGTAGTTAATGTTTTCTTCTGAGAAATGCTCCTTTTAACCTTCTCTATAAACCACAACGATGCATTATTATGGATGACAAAGCACTTAGAGCTATCTGAATATTATGAAAGTGTTGCACAATATTGTATAGCCTATAAAAGATAATTGATAGGGGAGATTTCATGTTGCCCTTGCATCCTCTTTCAGCTTACTTGAGCATAAACTTAAGTAGTGAAGGCATAAGCTGTTTCTTTAAAATCTGGCAGTGGATTTGTCTACACAGCAAAATTTGTCTACCTACATGGAGAAGTTAAATTCAGCATGCAAAATTACTACATGGTGACAAAATGAAGCATTTGGAGAATGACCAGTATGTTATAGCTTGCTTTGATTTCAAGTGCAGCATGCTGGTGCAGACTGAGGATGTACTGGTTGTGATCAGCAAGTAAAATCAGGTTAATTTTGATTGAAGTTACTAAATAGCTTTTGATCCCTCTTAATCAGAAAGAGACTTCACTTTGGGTTAGTTTAATTTCATTCCTAAATGATGTAAGCAGCATTGTGTTAAAGTTGTCTCTTCATTGAGAAAAAATGTTATTAGAATGTACATAGCCTAGTTAAAATCCACACCTTCTCTTAGTTCAGATCTTGTCAACTTGTGTTGACAAGACTTTGGTGCCTCTTATCAGAATATCAGGCCAAAATATCTAAACAACAAAAACAAAGCCAACTTCAAATGAGCATCTACAACCTGTAATATTGCCACTGTCATCTTCTCATAGTTACTTTTACTCACCAAAAAATATTGCAGTTTATAACATAGTGGACCAGTTTCAATGAGAAAGGAACCATCCTCATTTCTACTGGAAACACAAAATGTAAAAAACCTAAACTGTAGTATTAACATACCTGAAACATTGAATCAAGGGCAGCATCTAAAATCTCATTTCATTTTCTTTTTCCTGCCTTGCTAAGTTTTCCCACTCTATTTTGCCTTTAGTTTCTCACATGCATACTGTACTGATGATTTCTTTAGGAAGATTAAGATCTCACCACCACTCTCTCAGAAATTCTTATTCAGTGGTAGTGATAAATGTCAGGATTTAGGGGTTTTTTTGCATGTACATTGAGTCTTGAGAAAGCCTCTTTTATCTGCTCAGGCGTTTCAAACTCCAGCTTTTCCAGCCCATCCAGCCTTGGTTTATTTGCTGTCTAATAACTCCGAAGGTTATTGTAATTTTCATTAAGTTCAAGACTTACTTAAGTCTTAAACTACTCTGTTTACTGAACCGGATGCTGAGTACAAGAACGAAAGGCTGGGCTGGGCTTGTATCTATAGACATTTTTGTTTTGATTTAGTGCACTGACAAGGGAGTTTTCTGCACCATTTTTATTCAGCATAGACCCAGCTGGAAAAGTGGCAGAGAAATAAGAAGAAAACAAATAAAAATTGAAAAGGAGAACCACTTTGTGCGGTACCAGCCAAAATATCACCCTTTGCTAGGAAAAAAAAAAAGGCAGCTGAAGATTCTGTGGCCATAAGCCTTTCTGAGCTTGCTTACTTTCTTTCAAATATTTTACCTGTTGAAAATTTGTTTGCAGGTGAAACTGACAGTAAGTCCATTGCCAACTTTGAGCACTAGTGACAAACTTTGGTGTACCTTTGGTGAAACAAGCCATCGTGCTCAATTAAATGAAGGAGTTATTATCTGTGACCCACCTGATATGATTCCTCCAACACCAAAAGGTCAAGGTAAAGAAATATTGCTACCTGCCATGCATAAAAAAGGAAAGAACATAAACCACTGCTTCTAATGTGATCCTCTTAAATGAACTGAATGCATGTTTTTTTTTTCCTCTTCCAGATTCTTGGCTCAAGTAGTCTATTGTTGATCTTTGTCCATTCAAACATTAATTTAAAAAGAGAAAGTTTTCCTCAAAATTTTTCCATTGCTGTTTTTTTCAACCTGTGCCATTCCCACCAAAATGTTCGGCAAAATTGATCTAACTCATACTGCCCACAGAAGCTGTATCATACCACTACACCTCCCCAAAACAGTCCTTGAAGTCACCATTTCAGTGATATTTCTAGCAGGAGCAGAGGGATTCTGTGTCCAAACAAGGAAAATTCAGCTATTCTACTCTTACTCTAATCAAACTGAGATATGAGGCTGGAAGAGCAGCACAGTATGAAGATGTGTTGTTTTAGTTTTGCTATACTCGAGTTACTGTATTTCAGTAACTTGTCTTCTGATCCATGTCAGAAGGTTGTCCTTTCCATCATAAAGCCTTCTGCCCCTTTCACTGTGTGCTCTCCATCTTCTGCAGTAGTGGAAGACCAGTGGAAAAATAAATGATCATATTCTTAAGGGCTGTACCACTGTTCTGAACCACTGATATACACTTATGGCCTTTTGCCAAACATAATTCTTGTGCTATTTCCTAAATAGTGCTTTATTTGAGCCTTAAGTTCATACATCCTGATACATAAACACATAGAATAAAACTGGCAACACAGCCTTCATTGTTAATTGATCAAATTTAAACAACTAAAAAAGTGTTCTTGCATATTGTATAGAGGTACCCCATAAGATCACCTTCTCATATCAGAATTTCCCAAGAGTGTGGTACTTGGAAGTCCATTTTAAGACAAGTTTAAATTCTCTTCAAGCTGAAGCTGTTCAAAATCCAGTTTTAATTGCACAAAATGTAATGATGTTAAAATCTCTCAAGTTTTAAAATAGCTGGGGTATGTCAAAGTATCAGATTATGCGAAGTGTTAAAACAGCACTACTTTATTTAGGGCCAATTCACATTCCCTAAATATTTTGAAAAGTAGGACATAAAGAGACCGAGTTGATAAATATGACAGCTTGACATCTTCCAGCATAAAATGTAAGACTAGAAGCCTGTCTGGAATGGCATGAGAGTAACCAAGTCACCTAGAAATAATACACTTTCCTGAGTTTTTCCCACAGTGACCAATCTGAAAGGATATTCAGAAATAATATCAAGATGTTCAGAAGCTTTGCAGGCACTTTGCAGAAGGCAGGCAGTTATTAACACAGGCAGCATGTGACAGAAAGTCCAGAGCCATCCACTTACTATTTAGAAGCCCTATTGAGTTTGGAATGGCCCTGATTACTGTAGCAGTATCCCATTTCCAAGGGAATGGGATACTTCTAGAAAGGAATGATGCTTTATTGCAGCCCCATTGTTAGAAAATCCTCTAGTATTTCTACCAGTCTGAAATATTCAATGGGACCCAGTGCAAGCAAAGGTGACTTCCAGTAATGCTGCTCATGGTCTTTCAAGAACCTCTTCAAGGAAAGCAGAGTTTGAAAGTGCCCAATTGCTTGTGAAATAGCTTGTCACAAGGGCTTAAAGATTTCTGCAAAAAGCATTTTAAGCAGCTTCACCACAGAAAACACCAGTTTCTAAAGATAAATTTTACTCTCTTAGTTCAGTAATGATCCAGATGAGAAGTACATTTGTGGGGAAATCCTGTACAGCAAACTGAGATCACAAGTGCCTATGGTAGCTTTGTGTTGAAGGCATTGTTGGTCATTAACCACAAAGACCACTTGTTTTAATTCACATGGCAATGACAGTTTTCATCCACAAATGAAACAAGTAATTTTACACAGCGACATATTCGTGTTTAAGATAATATTTGATTTTATATGACTGTTCTCATGCCAGTTTTCATCTGTGTTCGATTACCCTTTTATTCATTTTTTCTTATTCTTTCAGACTCTAAAATTCTAGCATGGTGATAGCAACACTGAGAAACACTTCCATAAAGTAAAGCTATTCTGTCATTTTACTTCTTCCATTTATCCTATCTCTGCTTTTCTTCTGAAAACCACTTGCTCAAAAAATTGTAGAGTTTAAAAAGACAAAGCAGAGCTCAAATATAACAGGTCATGAGATCTAAAGCATCAACTGTATAGTTAAATATTTGCCTGCACTGTAAAATAATAAAAGTATTATTGTATCATTCTGCTCAAGAGCTAAAGAATTCAACAACCACTTACATAATTTTTTTTTCCTTTTTATTTTTCTTTTGCGATAGATCACGTTTCAGTTCCATTACAGTTAACCTTTGGAGAGAACAAGACATTTTTTGCATCACATACTTACCCTTTTTATGACTGTGAAGAAGCAATGAATCTTTATGAAAACCAGCCGTAAGTATTTCAAATTTCTAAGTGAGGTGTTTAGATCCTGTGACATCATGCTTCAGGTGACTAATTAAGTCTTTGGCACTCAGAATTTTTCAGTATCCAAACTCTTTATCTTACACTTTAATGAGGCATCCAATTAAAGGGCAGTTCATTGGGTTGCTATTTTTGGAAGTTGCTATTGTACTTGCAGGTGAGCTCTGTGGATGTCTACTTACTACATGTTGCCACAAGTGTTAGATTGGAGCTTTGGTTATGGTGCATTCAAATGTGATGGTCAAAGATGACTCTGCCACCATCATCTTCCCCACTTGAGATGTTACTGCCCCAGGACAGACACAGCCAACTCAAACTCCACATTTTTAACTCAATATATGAAGGTTTATAAAGATCATTTCTGTTTTCCTTGAACTCAGTCTTAAAGTTTGTGAGATTCTACAGTTTTCCTATCCTTACTTATATTTCTGAAAAAAAAAATAGCTTTCTGTGGTTCTCAAACTGTTCTTACTATAAATTTTTCAGCTTAATATAGTAAGGACACTGTAGCAGATTGATCTACTCTCCATGAATAAAGATGGAATTTAATTTACTTTTTTTGTCAGTGGGGGAAGAAGCCTGACAGTTTGTCATGACTATCATGTTATATTTGTAGATGCTATTCTTGTGCAAGCAATAGATGGAATTGCCAGTGGGACTGGAAGAAACATATCTGTGAAGAGTCTTCTTCAGCACAGGATGTGATCAAACAGAATATGGTAATGTTTAAAAATAAAATTATTGGGCTTTTATTAGAAAACTTCAATATACTCTTTGCTTTTTCTCTCATATCCATTGGCTGAAATAGGGATCTAAAAGTGAGTCTTAAGTTAATTCCAGAAGTGTAAGATTTTTTTTTAGTGACAGTGTGGGGGTGGGAATTTAAGGGTGTGATTGAGGAGGGGCATTGTGACTGAATAACTCCTGAAAGGATATTTTTGTTCCTTTTACTTTGCTTCAATGGGAGGAACAAGATTTCAAGGCTGGGAAAGATAATCACCCACGGCTTTGACATATGCTGTAGACATTTTTAGCATGTCTAATTTGAAAGGGTGTAATCAAATCTGTCACTGTATTTTAAGCACAAAGTTATTTAGAACAATCATTCCATTGTCCGAAGGCCATTGGAGCTTGTTGTGATAAGACTTTTGTTTTGAATAATGGATAAAATGTTTATCTCCCCAGGAAGAAGAATGCCCACAGTTTCTAAACCCTAACCCCTCAATAATACCTATGGAGTACCGAACAACAGTGCATTTTGAGGGAAGACATCTAGCTTATTATCAGGTAAGCGGATTAATTCAAAGCTAGCTGTCATTTGTATTCCACTTTAATTCCAGCCACACCCACTCTTCAGGCATTAGGTTCTGCTTTCCTGGGTGTTCTTGCTCATAATTCTTGTTAAAGAAGGAAAAGAGCTACACATTACATTTGACATAACGTTGGTTACAGTCTCTAAATGTGGAATCCCACAAAGACAGAATCACAACAAGGCAAAATATCGTAACTAGTATATATGAACTTTATTTTAAAGAACATAAAGTGGACCTCCTGAAACACCTTGAGAATTATTTTTCAGAGGAATTTTAAGAAGTCTGCTTTTTTTCTTACCGCTTCCTAATTAAATGCTTTTTTTTTTTTGGTATTCTAAAATAGCACTATTTGGTGTGCTTAATTCTCTCTTCACTTTTCAAACAAACAAACAGAAGAAAAAAAAAACCAACTCAGAAATTGCATAATTTTTAGTTTGGAGGAAACCATCTTTTGTTATTATTTTTTAACCATCAAACCAAACGAGCAGGTATTGTCCCAGCTGTAACAAAGATTTCTCTTTCTTAGTACCTCCTTCCAGAAAGTCAATTGCAAAACCAAGCAGCTAGTGTGACTCTGAGATTTTAATTGTTTTATCACCTGGGTATGCAGAACGCATAGAAGTTAGTGTTTGTCTGATAAAAGTAAAGCTTAAAAACTTCTTTAGGTGATAGCTTAAGTATTGTTCTTAGTTTCTGCTGTTTGTTTCTCTGTTTAAATACAATTAATGGTAGATATGCTGGCTTGTATCAATTACTTAAACCACAAGCCATCATTCAAGTAATACATGAGACTCATGTATTTTGAGTTTTTTCCTTTTTACCTTGCCAAATTGAAGTACTGAATAGCTTACAAAATCCTTCCATCAATTCTGCTATGCCTGCCAAGGGAAGGAAAAAGGTAAACAGGTCAGGAATATAACAGCAATATAAGAAGTGTCAGAGAAAGTTAGAAGGCAAACCATAAATGCTACAATCATATCAAAACCATGTTTGTACAAGATGCTATACAATCATACGTTCAAAAGTAAATATTTTTGCCCAAAGATATTAAAATAAATGTAAAGGAAAAAAAAAAAAAAAGGTGGATTTTATCTGTTTTCTGTGATGGCTGCCACTGGTCACTGGCAGGATTCTGACTGGGTGAAATGAATCTGACCTGACTCAGGTTGCTTGCAAGAAGTGGGACACAACACTTTGCTGCAGCATTTAAATAAAAAATGGAAACACACTGTAGAAAATTCACTCCAGGTTCTGTTGTTAAGCATTGTGAGAAGCTGAACAAACATTGAGGAGAAACAAACTGATTTCTGCAGAAGAGGGAAAGCTTTCTCTGATCCCTTGACATAAGTGGAAGAGTCCATTCTCTCTTAACAACAAATTCAGGGCAGATGCATAATCTAGATGTACCAAATTTACCTTTTGGAGGACTCTTTTCCTCCAAGGAAGAGAAACAGCAGAAGGAACCTGCTATGCTAATCTCATTCACCTTGTTTATCATTCTGTGAATAAACACCTCAATCTTTCTGAACTATTGCTAGTAGAGGAAAGAAAAAAATAATGCCTCCTCCCTTTTTTTTAGTGGTATCAATTACATTTAACAGAGCCAAACACACACAGTAGTTTTGAATGCTTTGTCATAGTGTAGCAATATTTAACAGTTTGCCTACAGAACAGACCAGCATGCATTTATTTAACTGGGATCCGGAAGGGCCTGTGGGGAACTCAAGTCTCTCTGAGAAGTCAGATGAATGTATAGGCCCTAGTTTGAGGACAGTGGCGAAAAATGCGTGTCAAGTGATGTCAGAATAGTTATTCTTAGGTGAGAGATTAGTGAAAACATCTCTGTCATGGGAGTAGCTCGTGTATCCCAGTACAGAGGTGCATTTTTACAGCAGAATTATAATTCCTTCAGTGCCAGACGTTGAACAGGCACACACAGTGCTTTACATCTGTACGCACAGAGCTCTAAAAACATATGAAAATACACAAATAAATGAAATAGTTGTAATTTTGGAGGCACTCATTCCTATGTGACCGTACCCGAAGCAGTAAGTTTGATTACTGAAAGTTATTTTGAGTAATAGCATAACCTACACTCAACATGGGGTAACCTCTCATGGAAGACAGGGTGGCTCAGGAGAAACATATGGACAGATCTCTTAGACATTGGCACTCAGCCCAAGTGCAAATTAGAATGTGGCTTCTCACATAGAATAATTTTGTCATAGGATGTCCTGGGCATTACAGGTGGCAGTCATACAGCCGTGAACCCATTTAAGGACTTTATTGATTAGAATATTGGTATATATTCATTTTTCTTATTTTATTTGCCTACATTATTGTTTAGAAAATTGTGACTAGCAAAAATAAATGTTCTGTTGTTACTTTGAACAACGAGCTCTGTTATCGTAGTTTAATCTGTGCTTTGTTTAAAAGAGCATGCACAGCCACAGTATATTATTATACTAATAATGATAAAGTGCACTAGGCAGCATCATTCATCTAAGCATCTCCATGAATACAGATTGGTGGTTTAGGTCGGGGTAGAAGAATAAGTCCACAATTTTTGTATAATCCTCTTAACTTGGTAACACTTGTACTGCAATGAATAAATCTCCTTGTGAGAGCCTTTGCTGGAAGCAAATAGACTAAAAGATGAGAAGCTGTTGACTATTTTTCTGACCCTCCTTCCTCTAAAAGAATTTCAGTAGGAAGCAGAAGTAAATCCAAGCTGTCCTTTTGCTCTTGGGAATAGCCATATTCAGAGCAAGCAGCTCAGAAAGGCACTGAAGAGAAGTTTAACACTGATCAGTTTATTGTGTGCAACTTCTGAGAGACGTTCTTCAGCTGAATCCTTGGAAGATTGGCATGGTAGGAGAGACAGATGTACAGCAACAAGATAACCATATTAGCCCTCCAAGATTTTAGTTATAAGTAACTTCCCATTTGGATTTGTCTTTGTCATGAGTGCCTGATGTATAAATCACTTCTTGGTGTTTGTTATCTCTTCTATATCCAGGCTGCTGAGTAGAGCTCTGAGCCTTCTACTGTAGAGCCCAGCGTGGCAGCCCAATTTCAGTTCTCTCCAGCTGGCAGCCATCATGCACACCGAGGTCCCCTCCTCTCCCAGCACAGCCTGTTAAACATGCAGGAAAGCTTCTACAGCAGCAGCAGCAGAATTTGACCACTTTTGAAATGTAAAACAGGGACAGTGGGGCATCATTCTTCAAAAAAGAGATTTGTAAGGTGATTTAATGCTTGGAAGATGTGAAACAGAATGGGCTCTAAAAATTGCAGGAAAGATCCTTGTGAGCTCAGCAGCTTGTTTTCTGTATGCAGGTTCTGAGAAGGAAGAAGTAAAAGGTCTGTATCCCTCTGTACGTAAACCTCTGAGAGTCTGGAGGCAGGCCCTTCACCTAGCTGAGCACATGCTACTCCTCAGCCCCAAACCTTGGTGGGCTCTTCTGTCCACTGCCCAACATATCACAGCAAAGGGGCAATAAGAAAGGCTTCCACTGCACTACTTAGATAAACCTGATCTGTGAGCTGCCAGTGATGCAGCATTAAAGATATATTTATTATCCTCATATACAAGGTTTTGATCAGTAGCAGACTTAGTAATCCTCAGAGCAGGAAAGAGAGATCAAGTTACTGAGTATTTTTTTGAAGTGCTCTGAGATGCGATTGAAAGTGGGGCCTAAAAAGCATTAGGGATGAAGGTGGTCTTGTATTCCTGTGGTCTCTGTTGGTCTTCACCAATAACACTTTCTAAAAACATCCTTGCCATTTGTTTCTTAATCTGGTTATTCTGGCAAAGCTATACAGGCAGCTGTGCTCTGGGCCAGGATGGGAGGCTGACCCAGCACAGGAATAGTGCTATGGTTTGCTTTTTAGTTGGCTCAGTCCCTTGTTTGAGAACAATGATGCTGAGAGTTGTGCCAGTGCTGCTCAGGTGCTGCAGCCTAGGGGAAGGAATCAGTGGCTTTTTTGAGATACAGGGTGAAGAGAGGGGAAGAAAGCTTGTAGGAGGCAGGAATACTCTTAAAGTGGTGCTACCATCAAAGACTGTCTTGTGAGAACACAGCTGGAGTCTTGGTGAAGCAGTAAAAACAAAGCCAGCAAAGTCTGAGGGATGTTCGTTCCCATTTGCTGTCTAATTCCTGCCTTCCTCCTCTGCCTGTAATCCCACAGAGAAAACCTTAAAGGCAGAACTCAAGCAGCTCCACTAATGACACATCTGATGTGTGAAGCCATCCAGCTTTCACGTGTCTTGGCTTTTCCTTCATGCTCTCTGAAACTGAGTGCTAGATAAGTTGTTGCTTTATCTGAGTTTCTCCATGCTTGCACCTTAAGGGAATGCTGGAGGGGTGCAGATGGCAGCAGATTGCACTGGCTGGACTTTTCACTGGCTTGGCTTTCAGGTGACGACTTCAACTGGTTAGCTTTTTCCACCTGATCTTATCACTTCCAGTGCTGGACAATATATTGCCTGGTGGTATGTTACTGCTGTAAAAACTGAAAGCTGAACTTCTCTCTTCCACAGGATGAAAAATTTGTGGTTGGAAACAGCCAATTTGAATTTGAAGCTCCTGTTGAGGCAGCAGAGGAAGGAAGATTTTCATTCATGAGTAAAGAGGTAAATGCAAAAATATGATTTGCTTACCAAATATATGCTGTTTTCGGTTTCAGTATGTGTGTGTCTTGAAGTATGTTGCACTGGTTTCCCTCAGAAAAGAAGATCATCAGTGTTGGAGATTCTCCTTTGGTAGTAGCAGCCAAAAGCAGGAGCTTTGGCTCAGAGTTCCCAGGGTCTCCCCTTAAAGTCCTGGATCATTTTTCTATATTTCTGAATCGATGGGTTCATTGTATCGCCCCTGGAGGAATCTGAGGCCATTACTCTTTTATTCTCCACTTTTAATGCAATCTGGTGAAACCATTGAGATAAAAGATGAGAATTTCAGAGCTCTCCCTCTCCACACACCAATTAATTATCTTTCCCATAGTGCAGATTTTACATCTGTAAAAAATGGAATGGTAACAGTATGCCGTTGTTTGGCTTACTTAATGTCCATGCATCTTTCTCTCTGGTTTATTTTACAGAGAAAGAAAATAGTATTCAAAAAAAGTCTACTGAGTTCAAAGCTAAACTCACAAATGTTACGCTGACTTTAACCTTATCAGCTTGCTGAGAGAGTGGTTTTGAGAACTAATTAACATTTATGCAGCATTTTGAGTCGAGTACAAATAATTTCCTTTATGAAGTCATTATATTTTCTTTGCTGTTTTTCTCTCCCACCTGTTGTTATTGCTGCTGTCTTTAAGCCTCAGCAGAAGCCCGTGTCTTGGAGCATGTAAACCATGTGCCTTGCCTATAATGAGGGGGCTGCGCTGCAAAAGATGCAAGAGGTTTCCTCTCTGTGTGGTGCAAGCCTGCCGTGGCCACAGAAATAATGGGACCAGATGGTGTGGGAAGGGAGAGCCCAGCAGGGTCCGCAGCTATATTTACTGACACCGAACAGTACCCTCACTGCTTGGATACTTACAACCCAACGTAAATTAAATTAATGAAAAGTAGGCATTCAGATATTGCTCTCCCTTGGTACTTGAAAATTCTGAATGTGAAGGATTAGGCTCATTAAAACATTTTTTCCATAAATATATTGGGCCAAGGTGAAAAAAGAAAGACCATATGGTTTTGGATAGCTTCTAAAACCTTCGCAGCTCTGACTATTAAGCATCACAGAAGGTATGAAATTTGCTTTGTAAAATTAATATCTCCATAATATCATCTTTTTCAGTTCTCCTATAGTGCAAATGAAACCTTAAAACTTAAATTATCCATAAGAACAGACAAGGTTAAGATTGACAGCAAACTGATGGGTAAGTACAAAATATGGGGGTTGGGGGCGGTTAATTACAGTAAACAGGAATCTTTTTATAGTTTTGGATTTGTGGATAAGAATGTTACATTTCCAGGTTTTATTGGCTTTAATGGTGAAATAATCAAATCTGACAGATCAAAAGTTATTAATACTAAATTCATGAATTAAATATCAGTGTTTTATATATTAAAAGCCATTTTAAAGATGTTGCCAGGATTCTCAAGTTTGAAGTTGCTCTGAAAGACAATCCTAAGCAAAACTTCACAGTTCAAGCATACTTTAGTGGCTTCTTTTCTAAACGGCCATTTTCCTCCCCAGCCTCCAAAAGCTGCAATGAACTTTCTCCCCCCATTAACAGAGGGGCGGTTTTCCTTACTGCCACTCGTCTGGGCTTCACCTGAAGTCTACACCTGCAGCTGTCTCAGCTCCTGAGCAGCAGACTCGGCAGCCTTTGTGTCTGCTGGCAGTCAGGAAGATGCATAAACACTCCGTGTGCTTCCATCTCATCACTTTATTCATTTATTTCTATGGCAACAACAAAAAAGTTTATTTAGTATATAGCACAAATAAAGACTTGGTCTCTGATACAGATTGCTTATTACTTTATTTTTCCTTCTTTCAACCTACAGCAGTTATGTTTGTGGGTTTAGTCTGGAGCTGAGGTGAGAATGCTCCATTAAAATCAGTGGAGCAGTACCTGCTGGGACCTGCCTGGAATGTCTTTGGACCAATGTTTTAGGGCATGATCTTGGAAAAACAGCAGAGCAACACTCTTATTACTTCTTGTGTGAGGAGTCAGCAATGGGAAAACTGACACTACCCCCAAGTAATTTTCTCTACAGATTAAATCTGAAGACTATATTTTTTCATCTGAACAATACTTAAATTGATCCCCTGTCACATTAGCAGCACAGAAGTATGTTTTCAGATTTTCCCTATGGCTTTGTGTGCAGTGATGAAAACACTTAAAAGAGGACCTGGGATGCACATTATGGGGAAGTCATGCTGCAGTCTCAGTGTCTTCATTTCCATTCTAAAGACCATGGTGTTTAAAATTGCAGAATTTTGACCAAATGTTCCCAACATCTTTTTCCCAGTCTGGGAAAAAAAGAAAAACAAAACCATAGAATAAAGGCAGTAGCTAAATTATTAAAGAAAGGTTATCATTCAAATCAAAATATAGAATCCTTGCAAGAGAGGAATTGAAAAATTATCAACGAATGTCTCATCTCTTTTTATTATAAAGGATTTTTGTATCCAACTTCTCTCTTGCTTTAAAATTTCCTGGCCGGATGAAATCCAGAGCATCATATTTTTTATGCATCTTGAAAAGAATTGACTTTGGGTATATGATTGCTGCTGAGAAGCACCTTTGAACCTGCCAGTCAAAGCACCTTCCTTTGTATGACACTTAGCGAATACTAAGTTACGACAGCGCTTTTACATCTTGTGCCATCAGGGGTGCTGAACAGTACGAAATCCAATATAGCTCTTTTATCCTTTGTCCTTTTTATCAATGATTTCACAGCCGGGATCTCAAGGTGATGGATAAGAGTCTGAATCTAATGAGTGGCTTGCTGCTGGTACATTTAATGAGCTGATCAGTGAACAAGGGGAGTGTTTAATGCTTTAAGGCCATAGCTTTCTCAGATGCATTTATGCAATGGGATGTGAGGGATGTCAAGACACTGCAGCACTAACATTGTTTACGGGGAGATGGGACAAAAATCTCTCTCCAGCCAAAGAAACACAACAAAGTGATGCTGTAGGCATACTGCCCTGCTCTGCCAGATGGCCACGCGTTGGTGTTGGTGGGTAATGTGGGGTTTAGGAAGGCATAGGGAAGATTTGTTTACCAATATTAGCTGCTCAGGTTCCTATGCTGTAGCAGCCTTTCTGAGGGCTGCATGAAGGAAGCAAGCTAGTGCCTGGCCATGAGGAAACTTCCTTACTGCTGACTGTGCTGTTTCTTCTGTCTGTAGCACAAAGTCAACATAGTAGAGCTGTCAGTCTGGTGCTTTTTCCCCATCTCTACCTTCACATTCAACATATGGAGTGAAGACTTAACACTAATCACTGAAAATTCTTGCCTGGCTTCTATTTGTTAACGCAATGATTCCACACTGATGCACTCAATGTATGAAGCAAATGGTGCTGCTGCTACTTTGCACTCAACCCTTCCTTGTAAATTCAAGAGAGAGGCTGAGTCAAATGCATGCTTTTTCTCATCAATTCATTGTTACTAATGTCAAAGTCTTTGCATACACATCCAAGGATCTCATCTGAGTGCGTCCTGGCAGAGCTGCTTGATATCAAGTGAATATGCTGAATAGATATAAGAAAGGTTAAAAGCAGCCTTCATTGTTGCATTAACTCTTCACTGTAATGGAAAGAATAAAAATGTGTTATTCTCATAGAGACTATAGCTGTGAGACTAAACACAGTTATTGTTTGTTTTTTTTTTAATATGCAGCATTTAGAGAAAGTCTGCCCTTATGAGGTTGCATGCTCTCATACAAATGGTAGAGAGACTGCAGTGATATTTTAGATATCTGCAATAATTGTTCAGACCTAGCAGTAGGAATAAGGACACTGCTGGAAAATAATGGAAAACTAGCGTTCTCATTCTACTTCTTCATTTCAGTAGGAATCTGACATGGCAGCCTCTTGGAATTAGATGTTAAAAACTGCTGCTGCTTCTGCTGTTATCTAGGAGGACATCACACGCATTGAAACATCAGTGACTGGAGGTTGGGTTTGCTGGTGTCCTTTCTGAAGTCCTGCTACTCTGAGAGTAAAAGCCTTCTTTAAATGGCCATCTCTGAAGGCTTTTGCCATCTCCAAGGGATTATCCCAGTCTCTCTTGCCCACTGGTATCCTCTGTGTATGTCAGTTTGTTTACTGCATCTTTAAGGGTGCACCTCCTTGGGGAAAAAAACCAGTGTCACTAAGTGTACCATTTCTTGAGACTTAATGAGCTTAAACAGCTAATGGCCACTGGGAAGGGGAGATGCTGATTCTCTGTCATGTACTCCCCACTCCCATCTGTGCGCACATTTAACACTTGAAAGAGCACAGGAGGAAACCTGGATAGTTTTCTGCTCCTCTGCTAGGTTAAGCTGATTTACAAAAAAACTCAACAGGTGCCAGAGCCTTGGTGACAGAGGGTGAAGCTGCATGGCCAGAAAAATAGGGCAGCCAAAGGGTAGGCATAAGAAAGGATGGGATAAGCAGGGATGAAGGGAAAGCATAAAAGGAAAGATCAAGAAGCTCCCCTCTTTGTGATAACCAGTTCACCTGCTCAGGGAAGCACAGCAGTCATGTGCTGAATAATCCGTGCCACATGCATGCTTTCCCCACAGAAATGTGTGGCATCTCTTCAGTCTGTTTCTTCTGGGCTGGCTCTCAAGTGCATCTCCAAATGTTTTTCGCAAAGCCAGGCTTTTCTTATGGTGCTGAACCACCAGCTACATCTCAAATCTTTGCATCCATTTGGAAAAACTGGTTTTGTTCAGTGACTGCATCATACTAGAGATGGACAGGTGCCAAAATAAGCTTAGTGTCTGGGGCAGACTGGTGCTTGGTTCACCAGTACATGACTGTCAGACCTGATCTCCTGGTTCAGAAGAACTGGGATTAAACCCCACTGCAGAAGGAATAAGGCATGTGTCAGAGTAGCAACTCCAGGCAAAGAGAGACAAAAGCAAGACAATGGAGAAGAAGGGAGGTAAAACTAGGACAAAGGATAACATTTCATTAAGTGTTTACCTTATATTTCATTGAGGCTTTCATGATGATTTTGGAAAGGCCCAAATGTCCTGGAAGCAGTTAACAAGGGTGGATCTCTTCTTATAAATACACAACTGTCTGGTCCTATGCCAGCTGTGTTTGTCCCAGTGACACCATGGGAGTTTGTGGCCTTCAGTCTCTGGCTGCTCCATCAGGACCTGCTTTCGGAGCTGGTCTTTGAGCTACCATATAGCCAGGTTCACTGAGGATGCTCAAAGAAAAGACTTTGTGCTTAAGTGCTTTGACAGAGCCTGAATGACCAAAACTGTTTGGGTTCTTCTTGATCATATATTTTGGACTCTGCATGTGAGTAGTTGTGAGGGTTTTCTGTCCAGCAATAAACAAGGTTTTCTTCCAGCAGAATTCACAGTGTGCACCTTCTTCACAGGACTGAGCTGAGCAGTGGGGGGCTTTGGATTTTTTTAGGGTAGTGTCTAAGTACATTTACCATCTCTATTTCAGTCACCCTGTACAATTGCTCCTATGGACGCAGTGACTGCAGTTTGTGTCTTGCCGCCCATGAAGACTACAAGTGTGTCTGGTGTGAAGAGGATGGCAAGCCAAGCAAGTGTGTGTATGAGAAGCTGTGTCGTGCTCCTCCCACCAACACGTGTCCTTATCCAGAAATTACTCGCGTAAGATTGCTTTTTTTTTTCTCCTTACCAGTGCATTGTTTTTCATCAGAAAGCATCTAAGCAAACTTTTACTGAAACCTGATGCATCCTGAGGCTGTCAAATTTGAATGTGAGAAGTTGGAGAGTCCAGATGTGCAGCCCTTAGTGAGCTTTGTTCCACCTGGTGAACCAGCAGCCAAAGCAATAAGCAATAAACTCTCCTTTACTTCCAACAGTTGCGTTTTCAGTTACAAGCCAAATGCTGTGTTTCTGGGCATCGTTCCCTAGAACACATTCTAGGTACTTCAACTGAGCACATCTAAATTACCATGACAGTGGCATCGGTACTTTGAAATCCACACACGCCATTTGATAAGAACATATCCCAGCCATCACAAAATGCCATAATGATATGGCAGACACTGAGTCATAATGGGGATATTTCATTCAAAGCTTTTTTTAGGTTCAAGTTTGAACAAAATATTTGGAAACAGCTACAGACACTGCCGAGTCCTTTTTCAGCTACTTTATTTATGCACTGAGTGCAAAGGGATGGCCATGGATGAAGGATCCAGTCTTAGTAATATGGAATATTGGAAAATGGAGCAGGTGTTTCTGGAGCTGGACTAGACAGCAGTCAGCAGCAGCCACCTGCCTGTGCTCAGACTTGCTTATGGCGTATGGTCACTGAAATATTTATTTATTTACTTTCCCTCATATAAACACAGATTGAGCCAAAGACTGGACCACTGGATGGTGGAATTCTTTTGACCATAATGGGATCTAATTTGGGAATAAAAGCAGAAGATGTAAAAAATATAACGGTGGCAGACAAGGAATGTATTTTCAAGGAGGAATTCTACTCTGTTTCCACAAGGTAATCACTGTATATTTTGCACAACATTTTAGGCAAAAAAATTTAAAAATGAACTTCTGTGCATCCTTACAAGAAGACGACATTACTGTAATTATTAGAAATGACCAATAATAGATAGAACTGGTACAGTACAAGTGCAATGTTTCATAGTAACATGTCAGAGTTATTATTTAAAATTGTTACAGATTCCAGTACAGTAACAAATTTAGTGTGATAGCATGTTACCGTCCTGCTTCTGATTCATTGACTTTTTTTTATTTGTTTGGAAAGCTTTCATAAACTATTACTGCAGATGTCTCGAAACTATTTATGAGCATTTAAATTAAAGGCATGATAGGTGTGCATCTATTATTAAAATTGTTGGGAAGTCTCAACCACAGAACAGCCAATGGGAAAGTCAGCAAAACAAGAGGAAGCTTAATTCTTTTTATAACAGTCCAGCCACAGAGGTTCTCTCCTGGGGGCAGGGAGGGAGCCTTGAGGTTTGGGTTAACTTTAGATGACTCAGTTTCATCACAGAGCCAGCAAATCTATGGGTGCTGGGTTGCCTAAGCAGGTTGGTAGATGCTTTGTTGATTACTTGTCAGACTCTTAAGCAGTGCCAAAAAGTAAAAACAAGGTGACTAAGTTCTTCTAGGTGTCTAGATGCATACTGCAGATTATATCAAGCATCTAATTTCAAGAGGGAAATACTCTTTTGATAGTAGCTGATTGAAAGCATAGCATAAAAGTTCAGTAGTAATATGAAAGTCATTCCAAAAGTAATGCCTCCTATTTATTTCCATGGAAACTACAGCAGATATGGAAAGCACAATAACACTACTTGATAGAGATAATTCTGAGATACAAAACACTCTATTTTCCAACATAGTCATCACCACTAGCTGTGAGTTTTCACCAGCAGTGAATAAAAGCTTGCATGCTGCACTTGTAAAAATCTGCAGCACTGGAGGTGACCCACTGTTGTCACCGCTGCTGAAATGCACCACTTACCACTCACTGTGCTCACACCCTCTGTTTGGTCTCCATAAACATTCAACAAGCAACAGTGAATGTCAACGGGTGCCATTTTTTCTACACGGAGGAACTCAGAACCTTTGCTTCACGCACACTTCCATGTCAGACACCATTTGTCAGACTGCCCCTCTGCTGCCATCTGTCATTATATGGCAACAACATGTAATGGAATATTGGTGGGAAAGTTCAGCCTCTACAGCCATACCATCAACATCTGCCTATGACATCATGAGCCAACATAATAAAACAGGAGACATTACTTTTGGTGTAGTCCTCATGTTATTAGTAACAACATTTTAAGCAGTGTGATTTTTCTTTCATTGAAATGCATTTCAAACTGCATTTGAAACCTTGGCTTTCTCTCTCCTTGATTATTTTGAAGTGTAGTACAATAACTTTTTGCTATTTCTGTGGCATGTTTTGAAAGAGATATTGAAGATGCCTAAGAGATTTCAGTTTATTTATTTTATTTTTTTTTTAGCCTTTGAAAAACCTATGGCTTTAGTCAGTTTGTGGATCAGGCATTTAGCAGCTTCCCAGGCCCCAAGGACCTAAGAATATCTGTAAAGCTCTGTGTCTCCTACTGCTTCCCAAATCCGTTACCATCACTCCCGTTTACACACGCATCACTATCCACAAAATTCTGAAAACTCTCTTTCAGCCATCTTTCCCCATTCCCTATTTCCAGTGTTTGCAAAAGCTGCACTGAATCCCAATGTAGCCTTACAAGAATTTCCACAGCCTCTTGGCTTTCTCTAAAGCTTTTTGGTATTTTTAAATATGTGGAAAGGAGCCAAAACTGAGATGACTGGTTCCTTGTATCGTAGCAACATTACTGGTTTCCTAAGCTCTGCCAGTGTGGTAATGGGCGAGAACAAATGCAACTTGCATAATGTAATTTACCAACAAATTAGGAGGTTTTGAAGGATGTTCTCCATTAGGGAAGCCTTGAAAAAGAAGCTATTCAAAATGTTTGAATGGATATCTATAATTTTGCATCTTTATCTTCTTCCATTCTTTTGTTTAATCATTACTTTATTTATTCTTAATTTAGAAAGGAAAAGAAAAGAAAAAAAAGATAAAGAAGCACTGAGTCTTGCTTCTCCATCCTTCCTGCAGCAACAAGCTATTCATTTTTTGGAGCTGGTTCCTCCCATGGGTAGGAGGGCAGCAAGTTTTAAGGCACTGAATGCTGCTTGCTGGCTCTGCTGTGGTATTTCTTTGTCAGCTCAGAGAAGTCTGTTCTCCTTTATAGTGTTCCATTTGTGACGGGGGGAGGGAGGCCGTGCCAGTGCTTGGGCTGGGAGGGAGCTTTGCTCAATTAAAATCCCTTCTCATCCCACTGCCGGCTCCCTGTTCACCCCCAAGCCCCAGCACCCGACTGCTTTCCTTAGCTTGACATATGGTAGACATTCTTCCGAAGGCACTGTTTCCTGTTTTCTGCCTGACATGGAGATACAACTTCCAAGAATACAGTAGAGATGATGAGGAACAGACTCAGGCAGCCATACACATGCCAGGACATGCAAGAATTTAGAGAATTTTGTCCACTTGCCAGTACCCAGGCAGAAAATTCTGGAGCAGTCTGCAAGGAAACTTGACAATCCTTTTATTATAAGTCCTAATTTAAGTACGTTGTACTCAGTAATTTGGGAGTTGGGTTGTGGGTTTGGGTTTTTTTTCTGTTTTTTTTTTTGTTTGTTTGTTTGTTTGTTTGTTTTTTTAAGCAGTTGTGCACTGCTTACAGAGGAACAATAATCCAAGTAGAGAAAAAATGAAGGAAATGAACAATGATTCCTAGGGTGTGTCCCGTGTGAAGCTGCCTGCGCAGGCTGCAAACACTGTATGCATCCTTATCTAACTGAATTATCAGCCCACCACTAAGCATTTGTCCCACCTTTTGATAGTGTCAAATCCTTGCTGCATTTTCATGCTTTTATTCTGCATGTCACCTGTTGGAAACAGCAATCTAAACATAGCAGCTCTCCCTAGCAGCAGTGAGGGTTAACGCAGGATGTATTCTCCTCCACTGTTCCTTGACCTCTGATTTTGCGTGGGTTATCTGAGGATTTATTTTCAGAGAACAGTAATTCTAAAGGGATTTTGATCGTAGGTGTGAAAATGCAGTAGCTTAAAGCTGGGAGATAGCAGGATTCACAACAAAAGCATTAGCAGCTTTACAATACACAAAGTTACAAGATAGCTGATTCTTGCATCAAGGCCTATGTGGGGTGTCACTGGGTTTTTTAACATCACCAGATGATGGGAAAACTTTGTGTAGGGTCATACCGTTTGTCCTTCCCTCTGACTGAATCTGAGTCTTCTACTAAGAAGTGGGCTTAGTAGTTGCTGTGTACGGTGCTCAAGTTTTAGTTTTACTCCATGTAGATATGATTAAAATATTCCTGGGTGGTTGTTGTGGGAATCTGAGCCAGAGCTCAAATACTTCATGTAGGATAAAGCCAAGTTTGTGCTTTTGCTGACAGCAGGTGGGCTAACTATTGTACCTTGCATTGTACCTTGTACTGTTACTGCTATCAGATAAACTTAGATTACTGTTTCTCATTAGGATTGTGTGTCAAGTTGGAGAAATGAAGGTACCTAAACAAGGTCAAATTGAAGTTAACATCAATGGAAAATTAGGTCAATCACCAAGTGATGTGCAGTTTACATACCAGGTAAGTGCATTTTTTTGGCATTGATCTGTTTTATACTTTGTGCATTGCTTGAAGTTTACTTGTTAAACACTTGTGTTTGCCTTACAAACTTTATTTAATCAACAGCACAATAGCTCAAGAATGTTAGAAAACACTAAGCTGAAGCATTTATTTATACAGAAGGTGTATCAAAGCCTATTCTTATCAATAGATCAGTCTTATTTTGAGATGATGTTTGCAATGTCAAGTTGAAAAGTTGCAGCAGAAAAGAAGTTGCAGTCGACTTATTAAGCAGATACAATATCTCCTGAGTGTCAGTACTGAATAAAAACAAGTCAGCACTGTAAAAATCAAGTTCTTCAGGCACACAGTTAGTGCAATATTTAATCACTGTGTTTAGGCTACCAGTGTTCTTAATTGCAGGAATTAATGCGCAGCAGCTGAAGAATGAATGCATTAATTTTTTTTAAATAATTTATTTCATTCCAAAATATGGCATGCAGAGACACAGACAGCATGATTTGAGTCAGATTACATGTATGCTTTGTTGTCAGTGTCACTCTGAAGGAGAACCTAATTTATGTCTTTAATTGCTTTACCCTAAACATGGCCATGGGTTATTGCTGTTCTAGTCTGTGGATTTAGCAGCAAGTAGCTCTGTCTGTATCTGTGAGGTCTTCCAAATTTCTAAGAGCATGTGATAGCTGAGAGGTTTAACTAATCTCTATTCTCATCTTGATATTTAAAATTATGTCTATAAAATCTGTAAATCTATAAAATATAAAGGATGTGTTACAGCTTTATCATCTCCTATATTTTAACTTCTGTCTCATTAATTCTTTGTAATTTGTGAGAAGGAAAGGAAGGGAGTCAGCAGTAAGAGGTGGAATAAGTCAGGAATGACATTCAGCTGAGAAGAGGATATTCTGGTTTTCACAAAAGAGGCTAGAAGAGTTGGCTTTTTTTACATTATTTTGGGGCAGTTATCTCCTCTCCCTCATAGTATCTCTGCAAAAGGACACGTTTTGCTAGACTATGATCTTCTACTGTCACAGCCCTCCTCTGTTCCTTTGTGGAAATGTAGATTATAATTAAATCTTCTTTCGTCAATCATCTCATTTATCTTAATGAGAGCAGGAAATGTGCAGAAACGTCATGTCCCATGTTTGTGTCCTCACTATCTCTAGGACAGAAGCTATGACATTACACTGTGTATATGTTGTATCAGTTCTCCTATGCTTCTCCTGCGTTTAAAGATTATTTCATGGTTTGCATGAAAACCACACAAACAAGTTACAAAATGAATTGAAATGTAATGTGAAGCCTTTATGTAGGCTTAGAAGACCTTTGTGGGAACTTGTTCTGGTGGGATTCTGTGCTCAGTGCAGCTGTGAGATGAGACAAGCAGTGCTGCTGCCTTCCACTGTTTGAGGGAAAGGCTCCCAAATGCCTGTGGTGCCCCAGGACAAGCTGCCATGCACAGCTATGATCCAGGTGGATGTTTACATGAAGGTCCAAGACTTCCTATGTGCCAGTCTCAGAATGGATTGAGGTTACTGAAATATCAGATACCTAAACTAGCTCCTGCTAAAAAATGTCTTTATCTACCTCAAAAATGTTTCCATGGGGGCTTTCATTACAGAATGCAGAGCAATGGCAAAGAATACAAAATCATCAAGCACAGCATTACATGCCTTACAACTAGTGAAACTGCTTCCTAGTTTCATTTTTCCTTTTGTTCCATGGAAAATGAAGCCAGCTGTGGTAGTATTAAAATCAGTGCAGGGCTGTCACACTCATGCACACCTCTGCAAGTGTGACATGAGCACTTCTGGCATCAGAACAGATGGTCAGTACAGCCAGCCTAGGCAGCTGTTGTTTGAAAAGTTGCCTCTTGTTTCGCTGCTGTTTTCAGGCAGTTTCTTGGTGGCTCCTTTTAGGAGATACACAAAATCTGTGCTTTATATTAAAGCTCCACTATTTGATATATAGAAAAGAAAGAAAATACTTTTCAAGAACCTTTCTAAAATAAATCTCTTATTATGTATTTTCCCCTTTCCTTGGTACTCTATCTGCTGCTCTACTGCTGGTAAATACCAGTGATTCTGATGTGTGCTTTGATCACCTTCAGCACAATAGCTTCAGCTTTAGCTGTGTCCATTTGAAATGCAGTGTGGCACCACCACACAGAAGTGTACAAGCAACTCAAAGAGACAAGGAGCTGTTCGACCTGGTGTCTCTTCAGAGCAAAAGTGTTACCATACTGCCTACAGGCTGATGTTCATATATCTGATAGGTGGCTGCCAGCAAGACCTCATAATCAATTATCAGCTACCTCTGGCTGTAGTCAGTGCCCAGCCAGAACAATGAAGTGTGCTTTTAAAGCTGGACTGACAACCTTCCCAGTCAGCACAACCTGGGGTTACGCTTGTGCTTCTGCTCCATTCTGCCAGCATGGTGCTGAGCCAAGCAGCAGGTGGGACTTCCACTAGTTGGGTCAACAATCCAGTTAGAAAAAAAGCCAAGGTTTCAATTTAAAATCATTCCTGAACTAAAATGCCCTGTTCCTTAGAAGTCTGTGCTGTATAGTAAACATCTCATCTATATTTGCTCCATAACAGAAAGTTTTATGTCCCCCAACCCATCACAATTTCTTCTATCCTGAGTGTTGTTCAAGTACAGACATTCCAGTGAAATTAAATTCTGGTAACCTCATCCTCCTCCACTGACCTTTTATTGTTTGTTTCACTATAAGCAGAATCCAGCAATAACCATTCTCCTTTTATTGAAATAGAAATGAAATGACAGTAAATTTTAATATCCAGCTATGCTGTGCCTCTGACAACGTGGCTGGTCTCTATTCAGGAGAAGCCATGCCATGGATAAAGGCCAGTCCTGCTTTTTGTTTGTTCATCTGATGGGTTTGTTGATGGCAGCGAGAAACAGAACTGAAGGTAGGAGTTAAGCTTTTCCCAGCTAAATGACTCAGACTACTGATACCACACAAGTGTGCTTCCTTCCCAGAATATCTCATCTTCAAACTCAAGCCACCAGAATGAGAGCTTGCAGCTGGCTCCAGGTTCTTCAGTGCCTGTTTGCAAGAGCAGCTCTGTGAGCTTTAGATTAAAAAGATTACATGGTTTCACAAAGCTCAAATAAATGTAAGAAAGAGCAACAAATTAGAGTCTGATCTGAAAACAAACATGAAGATGGCTGCTCACTGTACTGGGAGTTTGAATATGAATCTGTATGGAAGGATAGATTTAACAAGGTACTTTTTTTCCACCGTAATGTTCTTGCAAATCAGTATTTTTCTCTTATCTTCATTCATCCTCTGGTTTCCTTCCTGACATTAGAAGCAGTCACTGGGGGATCTCTCACTGCCACAGTGCCATCAGTGCCACAGGACTCCAGTGGAGGCTCAGTTCCCTCCTTAATTCTTCTCCACAAGTCTTCACCATGGCACATCCATTTTGCACTATAGTTTGGGGGAGAGGGGCAGTTTACATGGCTCGTTGCCATTATGATTGATGCTAATAAACCAGACACCCATAACAGTTGGGAACTGCTGCCAGAGGACAGTGGCTACGTATTATCTTTCTGCATAGTAATAAAAGTTCTGGAGCACATCTTGACTGTGTGACAGCCTGCACAGGGGCCAGGAGAGCTGGATAGCTCGGAGGTTTTGGGAAGCTGCCCTTCCTCACATGGACATTATTAAACCTAATCTCTGTCATCTGAGGCATCACTTAAAAATATATCCTTCCATTTGTTGCTTGTGGGTTCTGCTTGAAGGCTGCTAGTGAACACTGGTACATGATAGGCAGGTGTTCCAGCCAACGTGCTTCCATTTCTCCATCAGAGCTGCCCGAAGGGCTCTGTGGTCTGTTCAGAAAATGATGTGGTCTCTGCCTCAGGACAAAAAGATGCTGCCTACAGTCCAAACCATCCATTGTTTAGGATATCAGCCCTGCGTGTAAGCCTCCCACCCACTGCAGGCGGTTTGTATCACTTGGCATACGCTCTGCCTACACACCTGGAAACATTCAGGCAAGCTGCGGGTTCACACACAGCAGCCCCAGGAGAGCAGGGGTTGGCTCACCGGCCTGCATTGCTGTAACCCAGGAGCGAGGCCTGGCTGCGCTGGCCCTGCAGGCCTATGAGACAGGCCAGCTCAGGGAGCAGCTGCCAGTGTGCTCAACAGAAATTGTCCGCCTGCTGTCTTGTGAGTGGGTGGCGTGTCTGGGGAAACAGGTCCCTGTGTCTGACAGAGGGAGGGGAAGGAGCTGCTCATGTGCCCTGTTCAGAAGCTTAATTCAGCTCCTGTGGTTACCTTTGCAGTCCATGAAATTACACTTTGACCTTCATGAAGGCGGCGAGTGCCTCCAGCACTTCATGGACTATGCCTTTAATGTGTTTAATTTTTGTGCGCGAGGGTTGGCAGAACAATTCAGCACTGAGTGGGGCGGGGGGGGATAATTTTGGTAACAAATGAGTTGTTTTACAGACCTGCTTCAGCAGCCAGAGCTGACTGCAGCTGGGATCAGGATGAGGAAAGGGAAAGGATACTTGCTGGAGACAGGACAGATGAGATAAATGCAGAGTAATAACACGCTCTGTACACTGGTGAGAGTGTTGCCCACATGTACGTGTGCATCCTCCTCGGGCCCCCAGCACAGCACCCCAAGCCTTCCATGTGTGGAAGCGCGGGGGCACACCGTGCTTGTGGGTGTGCAGTCCCACTAAAGGCAGAGCCCAGGACAGAGGTTGCTGCAGTAGAAGCTGGCAGGAGGGACTCAGGCAGTTCTGCCATTTGCTGCCTGCTATGCCCACTTGACACATCCATCTGTTGCTGGCTTCCCCTCGTGCTGCAGCTGGCAGCTCCCACAGCATCATGGGGATATATTCTGCCACCGTCCTCTTTACCCTTCCCACTTGTCTCTGCTTGTGGTCTGGAAAGGTTGCTTTTTGTCCAGCATCCCCCCTTGAAGCGCAGACATTGTGCAAGGTCTCTTTACATC